CAGGATGGTCTCGATCTCCTGACCTCGTGATCCACCCGCCTCGGCCTCCCAAAGTGCTGGGATTACAGGCTTGAGCCACCATGCCCGGCCTCACACTACAAGTATTAATAGTGCTCTTCTGTTGAAATATTTCTCGGTCTCAGCTCTGTTCTCATTACATGTAGTGGCATCAGGGAAAATTAAATGCTGTCTTGGAATGACCAGTGGTGCCAATTAACCAAGAACATTAGGAAATTGTAAATGATTATAAATTCAATGATAATTAAAAGGATGTAATTTTACTAAAAATAAGATGTAAAAATTAGTGAAGTTGAGCAAAATTCAGACCTTTAATTATAGAAATTGAGCATATTGAAACTGAGATCCTCATAAAACAATAAGAAAGAAGTATATAAAAACCTCATTTAAATAAAGAAAAACGTTATCACCCAAGTTGATACATTGGACACTGTTAGAATGTGAAAAGAGCACTGGAATCAACTGAAGTTGATTCCAGATCTGATACTTACAGCTGAGGAAATTCAAGCTATTTTTTTTTTCTCTGAAATTGGGCTCATCAACAAAATAAGGATAGCAATGAATTCACTGAGTTGTTGTGAGGATCAAATGAGAATACCACGTAATTTACTACCTAACAACACATACTTGGCACTCAGTAATGAGTCTGCATCTCATACTTTAAAAAATGAATGCATGGGCTGGGTGGGGTGGCTCATGCTTATAATCCCAGCACTTTGGGAGGCTGAGGTTGGGTGTATCACCTGAGGTCAGGAGTTCATGACCAGCCTGGCCAAAATGTTGAAAGTGCAAATTAAAACCATGGTGAGATACCAGTATACATTTAACAAAGTGGCTAAAATAAAAAAATTTGGACATTACCAGATGTTGGGGAAAATAAGGAAAAACTGAATAATTCATACATTGCTGGTGGGAATGTAAAATAGTACAGCCACTCTGGAAAACAGTTTGGCAGTTTTTTACAAAGTTAAACATATACCTATCATATAACCAGGCAGTCACACTCTTGAAAATTTGTCCTAGATAAATGAAAACTTATGTTTATGCAAACATTTGTATACAAATATTTCTTACAGGTTTATTTGTAACAACCAAAAACTGGAAACAACCCAAATGCCCTTTACAAAATAAATGGATAAGCAGACTGTGGGACATCCATACCATGAAATACTACTCAGTAATAAGGAGGGAGCTATGGATACACCCAGCAACTTAGATGGATCTCAAAGTCATGCTCAATGGGAAAAGCCAATCTCGAAAGGTTAAATACTCTATAGTTCTATTTATACAAGTTTCTCAAAATAGTAATAATAACAATATGGGGAACAGAGCAGAGGTTAGGGAGAGAGAAGGAAATAAAGGATAGCAATGCACTGACATTCCTTTGTAGTGACAGAATGGTCTGTATCTTTTTTTTTTTTTGAGACAGAGTCTGACTCTGTCATCCAGGCTGGAGTGCAGTGGCGCAATCTTGGCTTACTGCAACCTCTGCCTCCCGGGTTCAAGCCATTCTCCTGCCTCAGCCTCTGGAGTAGCTGGGACTACAGGTGTGCACCACCACGCCTGGCTAATTTTTTTGTCTTCTTAGTAGAGACGGGTTTTGCCATGTTGGCCAGGCTGGTCATGAGCTCCTACCTCAAGTGATCCACCTCCCAAAGTGCTGGGATGACAGGCCCAAGCCACTGTGCCCGGGGATTACATTTCAACATGAGATTTGGGTGGGGACAAGTTTCCAAACGATATCACACACACATACTGAAAGATACGAGTACAGGCAAAACCTGGTGAAATCTTTTTTCAAGCAATTCTCCTGCCTCAGCCTGCCAAGTAGGTGGGATAACAGGTGTGCACCACCATATCTGACTAAATTTTGTATTTTTAGTAGAGACGGAGTGTCACCATGTTGGCTAGAATGGTCTCCATCGCTTGACCTCGTGACCCGGCCGCCTCAGCCTCCCAAAGTACTGGGATTACAGGCATAAGCCACTGCACCCGGCCGTTGTTTTTAATTCTGGCACTAATAACTGTTTTAAATTCTTTCTTGAACCCCTGATATTGTTTGTTTCCAGTTCTGTCCACTTTGCCGTTTAATACCCGATGAGAATCCAAGCAGCTTCAGTGGCAGTTTAATAAGACATCTTCAAGTTAGTCACACTTTGTTTTATGATGATTTCATAGTAAGTATATTTTCTTATTTTTACATTATGTTTTTATGCTGTCTTTGTTAAGCTTACTTTTCTGATCCAAGTGAATAAAATTATAGAGGAAAAAATGTATATATAGCTATAGTGTTGAGTATTAGCATTATGTAAGAAATCAAGAAAATAGAATATTTTGGCCTGGCACAGTGGCTCATGCCTGTAATCCCAACACTTCAGGAGGCCGAAGTGGGCAAATCACTTGAGGTCAGGAGTTCAAGACCAGCCTGGGCAACATGGTGAAATCCTATCTCTACTAAAAATACTAAAAATAAAAAA